TAGCTTAATTAATAAAATAATAAATAATCGTAATGTAAAAACAAATAATGAATGTGCCAGGGACACCTTAAACAAATTTTACAAAATCCCTTATGTAAAAGGTCTCACAGAGAAGTTGGCAAATGTTTTTAGAAATGAAGAAAATATCAAGGTAGTACCCAAAAATGAAAATACTTTAAAAAAATATGTGTATACAAATCTTAAAACAAAAACACCAGCCGAACTTCAATCAAATGTTGTTTATAAGATACCTTGCAAAGATTGTGATAGGGTTTATATAGGTCAAACTGGTAGATATTTAGGAACCCGTATTCAGGAACATAAGAGAGATTGTATGAATATATCAAATCCAATAAAGCCAAAAAAAAGTAACAATACTGCACTTGCCGAACACTGTTATAGTAATTTACATCGTTTTGATTATGATTCAACGAAGATTATTGGCAAACAAAATAATATCAAAAAACGGTTATTAGATGAAATGATATGCATAAAAAAAGAAAAACACTCGGTAAATAAAAGATCGGATATTGAAACCCTCAGTAGATCATATTTTAACCTTATAGAGGAGATAAAAAGGTAATGTTTGTAAACTTTTTGTTTGGTTTTTGTTCACCCTTGGTCTCGTACGACAAAATAACTCTAATTTGATTTATATTTTAATACATGATCTTGATGTATGTGTACGCTATTCTCTACCTATATCTATACTGTCCAAGATTGTTATATGACATACTATGTATAACGAGACTAGGAAAACACAGTGAAGCACTTAAATCTGTAATGTGAGTAACATATAAACAATATACGTAGATTTAATTTTAATTTAAATTTTTCTTTTTCGCATGTTATGTACAGGTTGTTGTTTGTTGCGTTTCTTGTTCATTCACCATATTTTGTTATTTTATTATTTATTATATAAAAACATTTTGTTTATGTAATTTTAATACTTTTGTTTTTAAATTTGTGACATATAAAAATTGTTAGTGTGTCTGTATTTGTAATTTTTTTTCATGTTTATATAGATATTACTGTATTCATTTTATTGTAATGTTTTAGACACACTTTTTAAATATTTTAACGTTAAGTTTGTTATTTATAAATTGTGATGTAATTTTGAAATTATTAAATTTTATAGTGTCCTGAGGATGTCACGATAAGTGACGAAACGTCGACAATTGAGAAAATTTGGTGTTTTTCTTGAAATTTGGCCTCTAATTTTCCCACTATTGACAACAAACTGAATAAAAATAAGGCTAACAATATCATTAGTTAGAACAAACGAAAATATTGCGATGGATTGCTGATGTCCCTAGTACCCTAGTACACATTCATGTCGGTAACTATTTGGTAAATACAAACTCTTAACCCTTTTTGTGTTTGAGATATGTTTGTGTTTAATAATAAATCTAAGTTTTTAGCTAACTGTGACGTCCATAATAAAAATACTAGAATAAAGAATGATTTGCGTATCCCTTTCTCTAGAGTAAATATTAATTTTAAAGCTCCAAGCCGGATTGGTGCCAAGGTGTTCAACAATCTTCCAGAAAATATAAAAAATATTAAAAGTGTAAATGCTTCTAAATTCTTATCTTGTTGAAAAGAGCTTATATAGTACCGCAGACTTTTATACTTAATCAAACATTACTTGTAACGTTTATTTACTCTTTTTTATATTATGTTTTATATATTTTATGTTTTTTATATATCGCGTGTTTAAATATTTATTAAAATGTAATTTCTTTTTTAACAACTTGTTTGTAACAGTTATGACGTTTCTTATACATTTTATGTCTCAAAGAATAAATAAATGTCTATCTATATATCTATCTATCTATAAGATGTACATCCAACACCATTTAAATTCAGAAGAAAAAGTAGGATTAAATATCAGTTTCAAACTACTAATCCAATTTGATAAGATATTCACTATATAAGCTCAAATTATGACCCTCTTCTTCTTCTTCAGTTTTTATTGAGATTTGGTTCTACGACCAATTCTAGGTTATTGTTCTCACTGGCTGTTTATGCAATAAACAGATGTGCTCACTGTAAAAACCTCAAAAGTCAGTTTGTTCCATGAGGAAACAATTATTAATATTTCCTTCGCATGAACCTGCTCTGGTCTAAGTATTTCCGATGTTATTCTTCCACCCATCTCTTTGTTTTTTCTTTTTTTTTGTGCTTTTAAGTCCTGATACCCAAAATAGCCTAACCATTTTCTACTTGTAAGAAAATATGTTTTATATGTGTAGTGGCAACTTGCTACTTAAAACTCAGGATCTACGTCTAGAGTCCCAAAGAAATGGATCAGGACAGCGCATTACATTTTGGTAGTAGTTAAGGAAATGTTGTAAATATAATAAGAATAACAAAAATATATTTTTCTTCATACCTCGGTCGAAAGTACGTACTTTCGTCCCTAATAGCAGGGACGAAAGTTTAACATTTACTCCCTGCTATTAGGGACGAAAGTACGTACTTTCGACCGAGGTATGAAGAAAAATCGTATACACTACACGGGCCAAAAGTTGAAATCTCGGTCCTGCTCGTCATGACGCGCAGGGCCGAAAATTCAACTTTCGGCCCTTGTGGTGTAATATACTATTAAGTACTTAATGCATGTTACATATTTGAAGCAATATAATTTGTAGTTATACTGTTATAAAATAAATCATTTAAGAAAATAACAACATTTGATTTAAAACAAAATATAAATATATTATAGAAGAAATAGCAAGACCCCCACAATATGTATTTTAAAATTTTTTTAATCGCGTATTCGTTTTCTGCTCATTTTTTCCTATCTTTCCTTAAATTTGACATTATGACTAAATCACCCTGTATATCGAATCTCATCAAAAGATCGCCAAAATGCAAGGAAGCTTCGTAGGTAAATGAAAACATTTTCGTTCCGATTTCTAGCTCTTCCAAATACATATAACCTTTTCTAGCCAATTTTTTATTCACTAGCGGTTTGTTGAAGTTATTTCAAATCCAGGGAGCGCCTGAATTATTTACAGAAAAGGTAGACCAGCAAGGATATCATTATAAAACATTAATATTAATTTCAAGTTCACAGAACACTTCGTATCTAGAATAATAAACTAACCACACTTCGCACATGGTGCCTTTGCTTGAATTTTCAGCAATTTGTTCAGGTAGGACACTCTTGTGCAAACCTAGCGACTCTAGTAGGTACATAGCTTGCATGGTTGAATGCATTTATATGATCAGAAACTATTTTTATTTTTATATCACATTTAAAATCAAAAATAGGGAGGAATACAATCCTCGTCTAAATTCAGTCGTTACGTATGTTTTGTTGCAATCAAATAGTGTCATTTTTTTAGAGAAGAAAGATAGTTTGTTTTCTGTTGCTT